GACATGCATTATGTATGTGCGTGGGCGTGTGATATTAAAAGCTTTTTCGACACTTATAAATATGTGCTCAACATACGTGTGTGAGCCGGCGTGTGTGTGTTTATTGTGCATAAATTTCATTTTCGATATTTACACGAGCATGAGCGCACTCTGGAGTATTTATGTAATAAGCATTCAGTGGAGATTACTTGTAATCATATTTGAGCGCTTATTCAAGCGTGAACCTAGCCGGAAATTGGTTGCGTATTCGTAGCCAATTAAATTCTAAGCGAACAGCCGTTCTTTGTTTGGCGCCCATTGGAGATTCCAAGTGTAGTCAGGTTCTTCTCTATCTAGTTTTTCCAACGAAGTGGAGATCTTCCTCTTTCTCTGCTTCTCCCGGTGGGTACTGTGTCTAAAACTCTCAGAACTGCAGGGTTTTCATCCATTCGGGCGACATGATTCATAAATTTTCCTTGATCTCGAAAACTCGTAACACCGATTCATCACATGTTGTCATCGTCCAAGTCTCTGCACCATATGGCAGTATGGCGGTGATAAGTGACTTGTAGAATTTGGGGTTTGTGCGTCGAGAGAGGACAATATTTCTCAATTGCCTACTCAGTCCGCAGTAGCATCTTTGGGCAACAGTTATTCTGCATTGTATTTCGAGGCTGACGTTTTTATCGATTTTAATGCTGGTTGCAAGATAGACGAAATTATCAACGACTTCGAATGTGACGACTGTTTGTTTGATGATAGGAGATATTTGGTTTTTCTCTCGTTCACTAACGCTATGCTAACTAAAAAAATAAATTAAGCCAATTGAATAAAAAAAATTGTATCTATAACATTTCCTAGCGACAACTAAATTTGCGCCCACACACACACACATAAATAAACATCAAGCATCTCGGGAATGCATTGCGGCCTTGTGTCAATCAGAGCCGTCACTGGCCGCCTGAATGTGCGCAGATAAAACGGCAAGCACATTATTTATTGCGGCATCTTTCCGCTGCTGTGCCTCTATCCGCCTAGTGCTGTCCCCGACGGCGTGCCCTGCTTTTAGCCACACACTTCACCAATTTCTATTATATAAGTATGTGTAGGTGTGTGTTGGCTGTGGGTGTAACGAGCTTTTGCGATTACAATTGAGCTGCGGCTAAACGCGCCACACACTGCACATGTTTGCGAATCTTGTGGCGTGGCTATGTATAGTTAATTTCCTTTTTATTGGCAACTGGGAATACAACGCTGACTGGCTTAGCGAGCGCTCGTTTTTGTTTATTCAGCTGTGTAGCAACTAATTTGAGTTAATATGGCCTGTGGCATGTGGCATGTGGTTCGCTGTTGGACAGAGGTTAGTGGTTGGGACCGCAGCGCGAACTTTGTTCAATAAGTGCGTTGTTGGTTTTATTTATTTATTTATATATTTGCTTTTCAATTGACTTACCAGGTTTTCCCATTAGCTTTTGACCCTGCTGCTGCTTCCTTTTTTTGCTGAGTAATTTTTTTACACTTATTTTTTTGTTGCGCTGTTCATGAATACACAAGCACAACAAGTTTTCTATTCATTTATTCATTTTGCGCACCTTTTCTGATTTATCGCTGCTTTTTATGTTGCCTAGTTTATACGCGCTTCTTTGTTTTGGCTGCTCCCCATCGCCACTTAATGTGAAATTAAGTTCGCTTAATGACTTGTGCGAAATCTCTGCGCAGTAATGTTAGACAAATAAAAAAGGCAAATCAAATCAAGATTACATGAAAGAGGCAATCTAGATAAAAAACGAATTAGCTGGCGAAAAAGTTGCTAAAATAAAAGCAAAACGCACACTCGCTTGTGCACTCGTTGCTGGCACGAATTCTCCAGCGGCAACGAGGCAATTTTCAGTTGCTTTCATTTCTGCTGATTTCTGACGCATGCATTTTAATGTGACCTTTTCGTCGCCAAAGTTGCTGAATGGCAAATCTGCTCATTTGAATATCTTCAAACACATTGGATGTTGCTTCAATTAATTTATGTAATCTCTGCAACATGCAATTAACACACTTTTGCTGTGTCTCAAAGCCTAGACTAAGTAGATTTGTAAACAAATATGTATCGGCTGAAAGCCATCCTGTGAGTCAAATTTTGTTAGTTCGCTGGTTTATCAGCAGAAAGTCTTTTCTAACGGAATACAATCACATAGTCTAGCTAATTAACAGATCCATTTCTTGATATGTTTCAGACATCGCGCTGCTGGCATCATGCAGCGTTAGGATAAGGATCCTTTAACGTTGCGAATTCAGGAATTGATGGTTTAATATTCAGTTTTGAAAAAATTATGTAAGGACAAAATATGCGACTTTCAACCAGCCACAGAGAATGTTGGTGTATAAAAAGGATTGAAATTGGTTGGCTTTTGAAATATTTTAGAGGAGTTTTAAGAGTCTTTGAGAAAATTATATACTCAGCATAGATATCAAGCAGATACAATATAGTATACAAGCGGCTTTTAGGAGAGAAGAAGCATATAACATGGTTTTCAATAGGAACGCTACATCAGTAGATCGATAGAGATAGCAAATGACGCCACATCTTTCCTGCTCCTTTGACATTTCCCTTATTAAGATTTGCCATTTCATCAGGGTGAGATATACGATCCAACAACGAGTAGAAATTATTAAAATTTACTAGTGGTTCTAGTTTTCAAGAGCGCTACGTCGAAGTTAGGGCCGTCATAATCGTCCTGTCAGACCAATCATTGAGCGTCTAGTGAAAAAGATTGAATTCACATACAGTAGAAAATGTTCCCGTGGCAGGGAGGCAAAAAAGTTTCTGTAGAGTAGAGAATATTGCTGCCGCTAGCGCTTTAATTGAGGAAGACACAAATCAGTCTCTCACACGTCGTTATCAAGCGTTGGGCATCTCAGTGACGTCATTGTGGCAAATTTTGCGAAAAGAACTTGGTCTACATACTTTCCCAAGATCGAACTGACGCAAGAACTGAAGACGCTTGACCACCAGAATCGTCGTATGATACGGATTTTCATCGATTATTCTCTTTCTGGCTGAATGGCTTCGTACTCCATGAGCCACCGTTGCTTCCTGAAAAAATTACGGTTTGATGCGGTTTACATGTCGGCGGCGTCATTGGACCGTACTTTTTCCTACATGCTCAAGACCGGTACTTTACTCTGAATGGCAATCGCTACCGCTCCATGATAACCTAATAATTGGATGATATCAACTACATCAAGCTTATGGTCTGCGCCAACGAGCCAGCGACAATGAACATCATATAAATATCGAACGTGAAATTGCAGCAGTAACGGGCTATGCTTGAACACCGTCGAAAATTGGGTTCAGCGCCTAGACTTTTGCAAAAGCAATTCCACACATTATGCCAACGAATATACTTTCACAGGAATAAAGAAGTTCGTTGCTATCCCAAACAGTTGCTTTATTAAAAAAAAAATTAACCTTAGCAGCGCTCTTATTAAAACCCCACTACTATGCCTGCGAGGAAACACTTTAAGTATATAATATATGTATATTCACTGTCCTATATTCATATCAGATATGTTGAGAATAACACAAAATTATTACCAGCGTTTTTCTGAACTTCAAAAAATTACGTTTAAGTGAAAATTGTTGAAATCTTCTTTTTTCGGGGAGAGTTCGTAGAATATGGATAATGACGTGCTTTAAAAAATAATTTAAAAAAACTGGTAAAAAATTTCAAATAAAAACAAATCGGTAAAACTGACAACACGTTTTCACACTCAAACGCCGAGGCGCGCATACATTTATAACTATTTATTCATTAAATTTCAAAAATTTAATGCAATTCCTATTTCGACGAAGGCACACTTTAAGTCTACAACAGGCATGCGTTATAGAGCACAGCACCGTCTGGCCAGCAGCGAGTCTATATGTACATATTTCTAATAAATTTCAACAATGACTCGCAGCAGAGCTGCATATAATGAAAACTGGAATGCCACTTACAAAAATTACAACAAATATTGCAAACAAAAGCTGCCTTTAAGAGCAGTATGAAATGGTCAAGAAATTCTTAGCACAGAAAGCTAACTATGCAGCATATTTATTTTTATTATGACACGACAGTATTGATGCTTTTCTTTGCKTAAACAAATACAAGTGAAATACCTTGGCAGCTATGCCAGACATTTTACTGCTGGCATTTAGTTAAAATCTGCAATGTTTTTACTTGAAATCAACAGAATTTTTGCAAAATACTTTACGGCGTATGCAAGGCATTCACTTTGAATTCACTGTGAAGGTCGCTGTAATGGAATGTAATGGCATAAATACGAACTTAACAGTTTTTGAAAGCGCGCAAGCAGCTAAGAAATGTGGGCAGACATGGCGTATGAGTAACCAGTCGGTAGTCAAGTGCCTGTAGCGGGCAGTTAAATGTCATTTAGTGTGTACTAAGTTCAAACAATAAAAAACATTCTTAAGCAGACGCACACGCATGCGTAGACATATGCTCACACTATCACTAGCGTGGGCTGCCTGGCTTGCGGTATGCCAAATTGGTTTTCAAGCGTCTGGGAGCAGCTTTAATTGCATTTGCGGTTACACGCAAACAATTTATGTGCGGCAACTACATATAAACGCTTTTCGGGTATGCACTTAATGGAAAAATAGGCACTTTAGCCATATGAAGCTTTAAACAATGTGAATACAACGGGGAGAAAAAATTAAATTGCTAAATATTGTACAAAAGGACTGCACGAGTTGACAGCAGTTCAGCACTGTTGCTCTTGTGCATAAATATATGTATAAAAATTTATTTTTTCTTAAGATTTTGTTTGTTTGTTTCAATACATGCCTTCGATGTACAAATACTGAACGCATAACTTCAAAAAATTTATAAAATTGGTTATTACAAAAATAAAAAATAAAATATTCTGTGATAATGTATTTTCTTTAATAAATTCTGTACATTAAGAGCTACGCTTTAAATGTAGAATACTCACAATTTATTTTCATTTCGCTTGACTTATTCCAGGTTCCATTAGCAATATTGACGATGCCGAGTACCACTGCAACAAGACGCAGGTGCGGAAGGTAATTTCCGGCGTAGTTGGCGCTGCCTCTTCCGTAACATCCATACAAGTGGCGAACTTGCTGCGGCTCTTTCGTATACCACAGGTAAGCTGCGGGAAAAGGAAACAAAAAGAAGAAAAAACGTTAACTTCGGCTCCACCGAAGCGAATATACCCTTCGCAGGTGCATTTCTTTTAGTAACTATGTGTTCAGTTTATATGGTAGCTCTAGTAATGCGATCTGTAAAATATTTTCGGAGATTATATTATTGCCTTCAGCAGTAGTCCATGTCGAATTTCGTGAAGATACCACGTCAAATGTGAAAGTTTTCCATACAAGCTCTTGATACCGATCGTTCAGTTTATATGTCAGCTATGTGTTATAGTGGTCCGATAACGGTAGTTCCGAGAATTGAGCAGCTTCTTAAAGAGAAAATGACGTTTGCAAACTTTCAAAACGATATCTTAAAAACTGAGGGACTGATTCGTATATATACATACAGACGGACGGACAGACGGACATGACTAAATCGACTCAGCTCAACATACTGATCATTTATATATATACTTTATAGGGTCTCCGACGCTTCCTTCTGGGTGTTACAAACTTCATGACAATCTTAAAATACCCTGTTCAGGGTATAAAAAAATGATTTATGAAAGTGAAATGAACGGCAAGATTCTTAACGGTTCAAATGCGGCTTTAATATTGAATAAATCAATAAGATGTTATACACAGAAACGGTTACGCATAAGGTTTAAATTCAATTTAATATTCTATGAACACCTAAACGAATATAAGTTGATTTCAATATATTCAGTCTCCCTTACTTTTCTAGGGTACAAATTCATATTCGAAGCGAATAAATTTCAATAACGCTAAATATATGATGAATAACGAGTAGTCGCCGCTATAATGCGAAAATCAAGAAAATATATTTAATATAAGAGCGCATAAAATATAGTTTTACGATATATTATCGCTCCTCTGCAGCTTAAATTTAAACACCTTCATGTCGCACACACTAAATGCAACGCTTTTAAAGATATGAAAGTATCCAATATGCTTGCCGTGAAAATACAGTTTCATTGCGCTTGGAACCACACTTTCACACCAATCAACAGCGCGCACTTCAATGCTTTTATTGCCAGTAAGTTTGCATGGGTCACTCATACGCCATGTCGCCATGTTATCATGCAGTAAAATATCCGCTCAAAGCCAAGTTATATGCTATCTCGCTCACTGCATGCCATGCGCCAGCGTCAGCATAAACGGAGAATAATAAAACTGTGAGCTTATCGTTTACACTCAACAAATAACAAAAACGCATGTTGGTGGCATAAAGCGCAAACATTTATTTTGTGTTTTATGTGCGCACACATATGAGCTTGTAGTTTAACAGTTTGTTAATGCTTTGGGCAAAAGTTAGCTATGATTAACCTTGCAATACTTGGAGTTCACCGCCGGTTGCTAGTCAGCAGCGTGTGATTGGAGAACTCTCCTCTCTTAGTGTTTATTGCTTTAACTAACGGCACACGTATTGGCTAAGTAAGCATTGTTTCAAGCGTTGAAAAAGTTCTTCAGAAATGCAGCAACATAACATTGTTGCTCAACAATGACTTACAAGCTAGTTGCAAGCACGTTTCAAACTTGGCTTGCTGCACACTCTCAGTCATGCTTTCCATTTGACTTTTTACCTTTCCCACCAATTTAATTATTTTACCAAATTTTGAGATGTGTGTGCGTAGAAAACATTCAGTATATATATATGTTCAATGTTAATTTTTAACTGGTCAAACCATAGCCATGATTCGGCGGACAGGGCGTATACGTAATATGATAGCTTTTGAGCCACAGGCAGAACGTTCAATGCTACTAACATCTTTCACTAAAAGAAAAAAAAATGAAGTTTCGCCAACGATGTAGATACAAAAATAAAAAATTACTAAAAAAAAAATTATAAAAAACTATTAAAAAAAATTAAATTTTATAAAAAAAAATTAAAAAAAAAATAATTTAAAAAAATTTGTTTTATAATAAAATATTAATTCTGTTTTTTTTTATACATTTTTTATTTTAATTTTCGTTCTTTATAATTTTTTTTTCTTTTTATATTTTCATGCCTCCATAAGTAAGTTATGCTTTTTGCTATAACATAATACCATAATAGTAAAACTGTTATAATTTGTCTTATAGCCTTAGGTCAAGCGCCTTGCTACCAAATGCCTCAGAAGTTACTCTCTTTACCGACACGCTGCTTTTCCAGTCAGCATTTATATGCCGTTATCACAACGCGTGCGTGCCTTTTGCCCCGTTTCATTAACTTGAAAGCACTTACTTGTTCAATGCACTCGGCACAATGCTCGCTGCATAAGAACTGTGCGCTATAAAGTTTAAACTTAATAGCAGCGATTAAAATAACAGCATTTACTTGCATATTTACTGCCTGAACCGCAGTTGAACGGCATCTTTGTCACATAACTGCCTGCTTTGAGTTGTTTACTTTTCATTTGCAAACTATAGAGTTTGTGAAGGAAGTAAATATGCGCAAAAAAGAAGTGGCCACAAACCTTCTTTCGGAGAGTATTAAAAAAATTTAGTTCAGACAGCGAATATTAATTTCTATGATTATCTTTCGAACAACAATTTTCTTCTTCTCACAGAAAAAGCGAAAATTCCTTATGTATACGGCAGCACACTCATTGCCACAACGATATAGCCATTAAGTGCGCCCACTTCATTAACGATCATCGACGGTTTCCAGATCAACCCTTTGTTATTATAGCTTGTGCGTTTGAATGTGTGGTTGCTATGAATGTCTTCAATATATATATTTATGCATTAAATGCCTTGCATTTCAATAATAAGCTTTAATTATGACTCAATCGAAAGCCTCGGGGCGCGCGCGAATGACAGCGTAATAGGAAAAAGCAAAAGTTTTGACATAAAATCAATGAATGCGCAGCGCATTAAAAGCACACAAACAAAGGAAAGAGTTGTGCATACAAAAAGCTAATAACCTAATAAATAACTGAATCAACATTTACACAGCGCGAGTTAATATTGAGTGGTCTTATATACACAATTCATATTCATAACATTTGCGCTGAGTGCACCTATTCAGGAGGGTGGTACCAGTGGGTCAGAGTAATATAAATATCAATTATTTCTAGACAACGCATTTAAATTCATCACCAATAAAATAAAGAGTTTAGAGACACAAGAAAAAAAGCTTTTTGCCTAAAAGTATGCTTCAATCATAATAAAATCACAAAGCAGCGGACGGAGGACTGGGAAAATTTCATAAAATTGCTAATCTCTCTCTGAAAAGGCACCAGAAAATTCGTAAGTGACTAACAGTATACGTTGACTTGCTCGTGTTCTGGTCCTGCCTGCCCTTCTTGGCCAAATGACTGATATTTATTTTGCATAAAGAAATACATCAAAATTCTAATTTCATTCAAAATCCCCAATTCTTCCAGGTTTCGTTCTTCTCCACCAGCCCGGAACTGAGCAACAAGCAGCGCTTCGAATATTTCTCGCGCACGATACCCTCCGATCACTACCAGGTCAAGGCAATGGTGGAGATTGTCAAGCGCATGGGCTGGAGTTACGTCTCAATCATATACGAAGAGAGCAATTACGGCATAAAAGTAAGTAAGAAATGTATACTCCACAAAAATATGAAAATCGCGTTTATCCAAATGCTATTGGCAATGTCAAAAGTTTTAATTAAGACTTGTCACTTGCCGCGGCTCAAGTCACAAACCGTTTTCGATTGCTACTAATTTCCGCGTAGAAATGCTTTTTAGCTTTGACACTTGGTTATTAGAACTTCATTAAATTGCATTGTCAGTGTTTCTCTGCGCTCGCTCTGCAGTCATGCCAAATGCGCTCACAAGCGCTGGCTGCTAAAATTCCGCAATTTTGAATGCCTGCGAAATTCAGAAAACATTTCAAATGCCACTGTATTAATTAATTTCGTGACATTTCCGCTTAACACTTGCGATTCCTAGCAAGCTCTTCTGCACACCATTCAAGCGCCGCTCGCAGAGTCAATGTAATATAATGGCTTTCCTGCTGAGTGTGTTGACGTAACGGCAATTGCTCCTTGCGCTTGCTTTCACCACCTCACTCTTACTTCTTCTCTTACTCTACTTCCAAATCAAACAGTTTAAATGGCTCCGCAACAGCCAGCGGCAAATTATAATGAGTACTTCGCCACGTTGCAAGCACCTCCCACCGTATTTTGCATGAATCCGCTTAATGAGATGGGCTAAAAGTGGCAAAAGGATTAAATGCAGCTGCAAGCGGTTGACAATGCAACAAGCAGTTGCTCAATTCGAGTGCATTTTTAGAAAATATTTCTTCAGTGGCACTTGATTGCTGATTGAAAAGCAATGCGTTTAAGTGTTTCCTTTTAATTTATATCCTCATATACTTTTCCCTTCTCTTCTATTCATTTTACGCAGGCCTTTGAGGAGCTGGAAGAGCTGCTGGCGCGTCACAACATCTGCATCGCTGTCAAGGAGAAGCTCGTCAAGGACTCCGGCGTCGCCGAGGAGATCGCCTACGATAATATTGTGCAAAAGTTGCTCACAAAGCCACGTGCTAGAGGTGAGTAAAGTGCAGCAGCCCTAACCAAAAGCCACCAGCATAAGCTCGACAAACATATTTGATAACTTTACAGTTTCGTAGTTATGAGCAACTTAGCAGACGTGCCCACAAAAAATTGCGCGTAAAAGAAAAAAAAAAACAAGAGAATTTATAAAAGTGCAGTACGTGATAGCCCTTACTCAGTGTAGTATTATTTCCACTTTTCGTTTTTTCCACCTTTGCTAAGCACTACTTAGCTGTCAAAAGGAAGTGCGATAACAAAGACGGAAGTCACGAAACATTTAAGCTCTAAGTAATGTGTACGTAACATTAAACTGCCATCCTTCATGCTGCATGCATCACGTATGGCGGTTTGAAACTATTTTCGCGACCACAATGGAGATTTAATGCAAAAGCTAGACCACATGTGCATGCAAATCGAAAAACTATTTGGGCGGATTAGATGAATTTTACTAAACTTCACGAAAAAGAAGTTTTGCTCACACAAAAGTTTATGAGCAGAAAATTAATAAAGTATAAGATGTGAAAAGTATGATCCGAAGGGAAATAAAATTGCTTTTCAAGCAAAAATGTGAAATCAGTACAGAGAAATATACATTAGAGCCGATTGATTTATTGGTAGCCAAAACAACCGGAAAATGGTATAAGCGGATGCATATGTCCCACGGATCATTCTGAACAACTTTTCCTAAGAGAATATAGGTCCAAAGCCAGTTTGAAGCCAGCAATTTTTAAGACGAAATTTTCTAGGGATCATGAAATATTGTTCGCCAGTCCTCGAGATATCCGAATGAAATTTAATATGTGGGTGTGTGTTGATATTAAATTGTTATATATATATAAATATATATATACTTGTCGAAATCGGCTAAATCGAACAATTAAAACACTTATCTCCCCTAAAATCGATTATTCACATTCTTTAGTCTCTTAGAAAAAATTGTTCTCAATGATCCGTAGAACATTGTACGCATACACGATTTTATAAGAAAAAATCGACCCGCTCTGATCTTTGTCCCCGATAGACTCCTAAACTTCTGAACCGATTTTAGTAAAATTTAGCACATTTTGTCCAGTTCGAAGCAACTTGGAAGATAGGATAGTGAAAACAATCCATAAATAAAAAATGTAGCAAAAGCTCTATTAAATGGACGTTCTATTAAGCGGTCATATCCGTTAATATTGTACGGTCTTAACTGTACAGAAAGACTGACAACAAGACAGATTCAAATTTAGACCTCATGTACAATGCTTTACATTCTTTTACCAATAAAAACGGTTTCGCCTTTATTTGTAAATGAAATAAATCTTCACTGTATTAAATAATTTAGTACATGAGTAATAGTATAACACGTATACCGCAGCAACGCGTGGCCGGATTCACTAGTATATACATATATGGCTAAAATATACCTGACTCGTTAGAACATACAAGTATTTAGTACTTCTCGAGACCAGCGGACTGATACACAATCTTTGCCACAAAACACACTTCTTCGCCGAATTAGAAATTCCTCAAAACTTTAAAAACACTACTTAATTACTAAGTAGCCACTTACGCAGGTTTGCATACATGTGATCAGCGCAAATACTCATCCCGCCACTTAATATTAGCTACCGCTGAAACACTTTACTTGCAAAAGAAAGTGTAATAAATATTAAAAATTTCCCACATTCCGTCGCGCCGAATTACACCGCTATGCCGCGGGCGAGCACCACACTCAGAGTTTCATCAAATATTCAGCACTCGCTCGCCACCTCCACGCAAAATTAAATGTTTGCGAAAATTTCTTCCACCAAATTAACTTATAAACTTCGTGGAACACAGACGGAAAGCACGCCCCGCCTGTGGCGCTGCAGGCCGCCAACAGAGCGCCAAATGCCTGCTGTATATAAAGTCCAGTGCGGTTTGCGGGGTTTGAGCTAAGCCCGTCCAGCTCAACAAAGCTGCGCTGCTCATATGGCACATTCCTATTGCCCACTTTCCCATGAACTCAGTCACTCACTCAGCTATTCAGTCAACCGTTAATTTATTTGATTTACGCGCCGATTTGCAGCGTGGCTTGTAAAAGTTTGCGAAGGCTGTTGCTAACCGCCAGCTGTTGGCAACTACAACGCAGGCAGCTAACAAGATAAAAGATTAATTTAAATTTTATGAAAACTTGCAGCTGCTTGTTGGCTAAAATAGAACAACGAACGAGCGCAACACGAAGTGACAAACAGTAGTTCTATTTTGGAGTAGTGAGTAGTTGACGGTGGGTGTAGCTGAACATGATATTGCAAGACAACAGTTAATTAATTTGTGAATTTGGTTTTGAAATTCAAAACACACAAAAATAAAATTTATTGAAGAAGTAATATAAATGTATTGTTACTGCGATAACTTAGAAAAATTTGCTCTTTTGGCTTTGTGCAATGTTTATTAGCTTTTAGCAGATGGAAAGCTAAGCAGGCTCTACATCTTCCAATGCGCTTTATTCCTCGTTGAGCCGTTTTTGTATCGAAAGCGGAGCAGTTTCGAAAAGTCATCTGCAAATGCTCGTTCATAGTTACTGTAACTGCTTTGAAGCACCGATTCGAACTTACCTAATAGCTTCTGCCTTAGCACAAATTCACGATGTGATGATTTGATATCTCTTTGATTATATTTAAGGGTAGTTTCTTGTCACTTCTGGCGGAGTGGAAGAGTTCACGAGCTCATCGGGAAGTAAATAGGCGAATCCCGCATGATGGCGTCTTTTCCCCTTAACTCTAGTTCCAAGTAATGATTAATTTTTTGAAAGAACTTAAAGAATGAGGTCCGTTACGCAGATGATGATTTTTTTTAATCCAAATAAAACTGAGCTAGTTTTATTTATTAGGAGAATATACTCTTCCCTCATTGGGAAACTCTAAGCTTTAACCGGTGGACAGGGGTCTTATCCTTGATAGAAAGCTCTTATGGAAGCCAAACAGCTGGGAGTTTGTGAGGAAGGCATCTGTCGTCTTATAGTGTTGTAGGAGAGCAATAAGCAAGATTTAGGCTTTCTCACCAAAAGTGTTTCTCTGGCCCTATGAAATCGTAGTTATGACGTCAGAGTTTGGTGAAAGGCGCTTAGAAAAACCAAATTTGCTAAGTAGTTGGAACGTGTTTAAAGAGTGGCCCTTATCGCCACACAATGCCATTCGCTTTGGAGACTTGTGGGCGGCGCAAAGCCGTTGGAACACCACTGCTCTAAGCGGAGGTGAGCTCTTTCACGGATGGATCAAGGTTAAAGGGGAGAGTTGGTGGTAGAGTCTTCAATTGGAGCTCTCCATCAGATGGCTGCCATCAAAGCAGCAGTAGATATATTGCTTTGAAGTGCAGCTCACTTCAGAGTGGTCTGCATGCACTCCGACAACCGAGTGGCTATAATGGCTTTAAGCTCCGTGACCGTGCGCCCAAAACTAGTCAAGGAGTCCATGACCTCATTAGCACCAACTTCAAGATTCATCAATATTAGACTCTTATGGGTACTCGGTTACACCGAGGCGCTGGTCATTTACCAGAACTGCGAGATACTTCTGACCCAAAGTGAACCATGTGAGGTTATACGAACTACTGGCTCTTATTAAGGTCTATTTGGCTGCAATTGTAGTTATTCTGACCGGATACTGTCCAACATATTTTCATGCGGTGCGGCTAAATATTTTGTCGGGCGCTCCCTGCCAAAGCTATTTGGAGGAAAACGACGGGAATCATCTTATCACTTCCTTCTCCATTGCCCTGCTTTTGTCAGACTGAAGTTGAAATATCTGCAAAGGCGCTGCCTTAATAAATTTATTGTAAGTACAAAATTCTTGGTGGAGTTTTAAGAGTTTATTGGTAACACAAAGGAAAACAAGAAAAATATGTGTTCAAATGAAATTCATCGATTTTGGATCAATCCTACGAGCTAACCTAACTAAACCTAGCGAAATTCAACACTGCAAACAATTTTATATAGATATACAAAACTACTTTTTCGACTATCCAATATTATGTCAAATAAAACAGTAAAAGTGTTTTAAATAAGTTGTAAACCTAATGGACAATCGCGCTAAAATCACAGCTCAGCTTTTCACTTTAAAATAAAATGCTACTCGTGTGTTATATAATTGGATTCATTAACCCCATTATTGTCACATGTCCGCTGAGAATTTGATAAATCCAAAATTCAAAAATGCCATTAAAACAATGCGTTGCACATTTAACCGCTCAAGGCGAGTACAAATGGTGAGGGGCGGTGAAACACTTTCGGAAACTAACTTTGAGCGCAAAAGGCTTACAATATCAAAATGTTGGCTGACCAACCACACACACAAACACACTGAAAAGCCACAATTTAGTAAAACAGAAGTAAACTACAACAAATCGCATAAAAAAGTCACATGCACACGCACACATGTGTAGTTGGTTAGAGAGAATGTCTGCGTTTGATTTATGACATTAAATATTAAGATAGCAAAGGCGCATGACCACACTTGGGGCAGAAGGAGGGGCATACAGAGAACGAAACTTGTGGTCGCTGGGGATTTGAAGAGGCAAATTGTAGATATCAAAACAAATATATCTCTGGCTAAAAATTCATTATTTCTATTTTAAGTTATAATACGTACATGCTTTTGATTGAAGAAGAAGCATAAGCATGCTCTTCGCTGTAAAGTGTTAGAAATGACTTTGTTGTGTTGAGATTTTTTAAAGTCGAGTACTTTTCGCACTTGATCTTTGCACAATAAATCAACAGCTTTTCTTATTTGACTTATGCAGGATTTCTGAAGGTTAACGCAAAATGATTAATGATTGAGGACTTCAAAGTGCCTAAGAATTTTGTAACATGTGGTTCTTTTGCGATTTTTAAAGCCTTTTCTGCTGTCAGCTGCTTTTGCCACGCATTACATACAGTTGAAGTTAAATAAAAATTCCTGCAACCATAGATTAATATAAATTTCTCATCTTATGAGCAATAAAAATTGCCCCAACTATTCAATGCTTCTCATTTGCTATGTCTCACCTTCTTTGCTGTCGCAATCGTGCATACCATTATCAAATTGTCTACCTTTCTGCGAGCACCTTTCGCTAAGGCCCCACACCACACATTTCCATATTGTATGAATGAAACTACATTTCATACATTTTCTCCTCTTTTCAATCGCCGCTGCGCGCCACTCAGCCGTTCCATTCTAAAGTGCAAAATGCAAAGAAGTAGCGAAACCAATAGAGACGCCAGAGAAAACGAAAAGTGTCGTTTATTGCCTTTATTGTCGTTAAGATATCTGACAACCATTGACTATGTCAAATTGCACGTTCAAGTGACAATGCGAATGAGTTGCTTTGAAAAATGGCTGAATAAATGGCTATAGCTAAGAAAAAGCTCAAAATGGAAGCAAATTCAAAGTGCAACGAGGCGGCAATAACAGATAATCGGTATGGTAAAGCAACAAAAGTTGCATAGAGAATGAGTTGTAGACGAAAAAGAGTTAAGATAGTTTGACTAAGTTTCTTCAAGAGTGAGTTTTCAGTATGTTCAGTTACGAACCCCTGCACAAAAATTTGAAGCCATCGTACCGCATACTCATCATCAAAAGGCTTCCTGTGAAATATTTTTGCCATAGTTTAGCATAATTAGAGACTCTTTTTAATTAAACATAATTTAGTTGATTAAAAATATTTCAGAAAAAATTCATCAGCGCCTATGAACATTAAATTTATTATCGTTCCAAAAAATTCTTGAAACTAGGAAGCAATGAAAAATGGGTTCTAGAGCGATATTTTGACAATCATAGTTGATGTTACATGGCTAAGAGCATATGCAGAGGCACATAAATTTTATTAATGGATATTACAATTCCATTTACCTTCATATAGAGGCACGCACCAGCACATATACACACAAAAGTGCAAAAGTTATTATGCTTCGTTTTTCTCATGTCTACGAATTTTTCATTGCTTCCTACTTGCTGTCAACCCCACACATAACTGTAACGCTTTGCTTTTATCCAACTGATGTAGATTTATGGGCAAAATTAACCTTTTCACTTGCTGCTTTTACCGCTTTTGTTGCTGAAGTAGGTTTCAGTGTTTTCATTTGATATTTTCCATCAAGTCAATTCTTCTTAGAATAGTAACTACTTTCGTAGGACGCATGGGTTCTAGAGCGAACATTTCGACTGCTCGGCTTGGGTAGAAAAGGTAAAGGCTCAATTAAGACGCATTGGGGCGTAGCATTGATAATAATTACAATACCCTTCACACTGTGTATGCATACCAAACGCATAAATATGTGTGTGTGTGTGTTTGTGAGCAGGAAAAATGTATCAGCTTCACATAAGCTGCCGTTGGGGTTGCTAAAATAAATAGTGTTTTCTCCATAGTAGAGCAAAGCCAACGATAAAATAAAATTTATACAACATCCATTTTGAAAATAGGAGTGACTGTGCATGTTTTCGCAGAGTTGGCGCTTAGGGAAAGTTAATATTGGAACGATTGTAAGAAAAATGCTGATAAATGCCGCTTTTAGTTACCTTTAATGCAAATTTCCTTGACTTCTTGCGCGGCAACGGCATTTGAAGCATTTTCTTCGACATACCTTTCGCGCAATGCTGCAAAGGTGTGTGTGTGCTCCCCTCTTTGTTTAGCCGTGTTTTAGCTTTACTCACTTGCGTTGACTCAAAGTGCCAGAAAGTAGGTCATATTATGTACCAAGCGTCTTTGATAGCCATCAAGCCCATATGTCACACAATTTTCTTGAGCCATCAACACTTTTTTCCGAAGCATACACACGAACAAGCGAAGCGTAACAATCACACGTCTAACCTACTTTCCGAGCAGCGCGCAGTTGCAAAGGCAGGAAAGTGTGGCAGGCGCCACATTCAACCACGCAGTGTGCTGCATATACTTCTTGGCATTCTTCGAATTTCGCCCCGAAAATGACTTTGCAATTTTTCCAAATGTAATGCTTCGCGGCGCCTCTGTCTAAAGTCGAAATATCGCAATTTTTACTTAATTTTTTCACCCTTGCAACATTTCAGTGCTCCGTGTGTGCCTCTGTACATTCATTTAAACATTTACAACAACACAGCAACAAGCCGCCTGCGGAAATTGTGTTGGCCAGCTAAGCCATGTGTTCGCAACTAACCATATATCCCACTTCTATGCAGAACTATGGCAGAAATGGAGCGAAAATTAGTTGCCACAAAAAGTTGCTCGCTTTTGGGCTGCCACTGTGTTTTTTGTTAGAGCCAAACAGGCGGTTTAATGATAAAAAAAGCTCTACAATTCCATTATTTTTTCCTTCAAGCAGGAACAAAGTGCGTGCGGCGGCGTTGTGGTGAATTTGTTTTTCGAACATGTTTAAACCTTAAATTTGCCACGCCAGATATTTGTGGCAACATTGTTATTGCTTTTTGGTGAAACCTATATCTTTGCTACGTTAAAACCTTTTCTCGTTTGAACTGGTGTATAGTTGGCAATTTTAATCCAATAGAGACCCACGTGTACACTTAAAGTTTGGAGAAACTCGCGCGGGTTATTCCTATGCCTTTTTTTTTACTGATGAACCGATTAAAGAAGTATATCCGAAGTTGTCAGATGAGGGGGTTGATAGGGCATGCAAATAGATGACCAGTGTCATACGGAGACTCATTGCACGCATGACATATATTGGATACGTCGGGGTCTATTCTGGATAAGCAGGAGTTTAACCTGCTACAGTATCAAAAACGAAGCTGCTCAAGGATCACTCTCGTTTCTAGAGGCAACTCGCACTCTTGGTCTGCAATGGGTGGTGGTTTGACTCCGAGTACGCCATTCAGTGGACGGGAGTCTGTGAAGGTGTTGATGACTCCGCTGGAAATGGCGGTCAGTGCTTGACGGAAGCTTGTCGCCGACGTATTTGAGAAATGAGAGGAGTTCATTATGCTCCTTAACTAGGATCCTACGGGCCTCACTATGCAAGTTTTCAATAGAAGACATCAAAAGGCATCGTGCCGTAGTCCAGAGTGCAGTTTTGTGACAGGTCTAAAATTTCCTCGTCTGCGTTTCACTGCATCCAAGCGACCAGTAATAGCTCTTGTCAGAGACAAATTAAGGCAGCTTGTGGGATTTTATACAGATCACTGAATGACAAGATGTCATGTGCATAGATCAGCGTACTCAATGGATGTGTTCAATGGATCAATTTCGTCTTTGCGACCAAAGAGCAGAGACAACAGAGCACATAATCCTGGATTTCCCCAAAATTACAAGAAAAAGGAGTCAGGCAATTGGGCAATTAAATCCGCTGAGAAAACAACAAATTAAATCCATGAGATGGCTTTACTAAGCCTCTTTCGTGTAACTGGATTAAATGTTGTAATAACAGTAGGAAGCAGAACCAGGGTCCCAGCATAATGTTCAAATTTTAATATAATCAAATGATGCTCTGCTTTGTGGAGAGGCATTCAAATTAATTACGAAAGTGCAGACAAAGCGGAAAATTGCTAGTGTAGAGCCTAGAATTCAACTAATCCACTTAAAATAAAAACGTTTACCGCAACTAGAAGCCTATAAGTCCATTTTCAAAAACAAAAGAAAAAAAACAAAAAAAAAACAGGTTCATAGCTTGCTTACGGATTCTTCAGTTAACTTATCTTGTAAGACCCCACATTTTTTCTATTCTATCGACACATACACTATAAAAGCAGTAGAAGGTTTGCTTTCGCTGCAACGAGAGCTCATTTTTATCCTCAGATTTCAACCCAGGAAGCTGTTATGAAGTTGTCAACGTTACCACGGTTATAATAACATTGCTATTTGATTACATTTCAAGGTCAGCGCACTAAAATTGACACCGCAGATTCGTTTGAAACTATCTTTATCCTCATCGAAATGTGTTTCGTGACCGAAAACATAATCAAGCGGCATTAGCGTACTCTTAACAAAGCACAGCAGTTTTATCAAACCAAACTAGTCGTTCCCTATCATTTAATGGATTTCACTTCTTTTTCCAGGTGCCATTATATTCGGCTCGGATCAGGAAGTGCGTGAGGTGATGCGCGCCGTGCGACGCAACAATGCGACTGGTGCCTTCTCGTGGATCGGCTCGGACGGCTGGAGTGCGCGCAACCTGGTATCCGACGGCAATGAGCCGGAGGTAAGTAATTGCATGGTTAATGAATAGCGAGCGCTCGCCTTTTATAGTATATTAAGCGTGGGAGGGCACATGCGTCAGTGCTGCACAGGATATGACCACTTATAATGGCAATTGGCCAAAGGCACCTCAGCAGCAAGCATCAGAAAACAAGCATAAATGCAAATAATAGTTATAGTGTACACAAGGGAGCGAATGACTGAGCGAAGGGGAGCAAAAAATGTGCTGCGCCGGCCTTAAACTACTACACACACAAATGGACGCCTTAGATACTCGTGCCCCTTCCACCGTGCATTGCTGTTGTATGAACGGAAATTGTGTTAAAAGTTAGGAGCATAGGTCACACACATGCATGTGTGTGTGTGTGAGGGTAAAGCGCCGGAATGAGCAACAAATTGATTAATGAATTGCTGTCGGAATCACTTAGACCAGGTCGACTGGCTGTGGTAATCACATTTTAGTTGAGCAAACACCACAAATACACATAGCCATGAGCGCCGAGACGTGAGTGGGCGTTCTAACAAATGCTGTTCCAAGTGTGGGAGTGCCGCCGACAGACAACTTAATGTAACCTTTTAAGCATACCCAGTTTATATAAGCCCAGCTAACGCAGACAGCTGCCATTCGCCAAGCCTTTGCGGCGATAACTTCTAGGACCCATGACCGCACACGTTCGCAGAGAGATAAAGTAATTATAGCTGCTTGAGCATTACCTTATTCATTTTTTATGAATTTCGGATCATAAAGAATACATACATATATATTTTTATACAAAATTATTTTTTATTTTGGTTTTCCGCAGCAATGCTCATTAACAATTTCATTTAATTGTGATGGTTAAATCTGATACGCGTAGTTCGGAGCACAAACAAGTGCTTGCATGTAAACAGATAATGCAAAACTGACAGCAGCGCGTATATTTATATGCGCACAAATGCGTTTACAAGTGTCGCCGCTGCATGAGCACGCAGCGCACGGGGTAACGGTGCGTATGTGGCTTATTTACACACAATGCTTTCACGACTGACGACAAGATAATTGATATTAATTGTTGTTGCGGGCAAATTTCTTACAAAATCGAAAATCGAAATGACAACAACAGCCATACAGACAATCGATTTAATGTTTAACTGACGAATTAAATACCATTATTGACTTCAAATTAACTCAACTCAGACTTAATGCACAATTATTGAACATGATTTTATTAAAATGTCTGGAAATTGTACTGACAAAGCAGGAGGCAATTTAGCCTAGATATTTTCCCACACGGCTTGCATTTCACTTTCGTTTTGCTTGTTTTAAAGCGTTGAAACTTGGAAAATTTATTGAATTGACTTTCTTAATTAATGGAGCTAAAAAGTTATTAGAAGAAGTCAAATAAAAAGTCCCCAGCCTACCATTGTAAAACAATTTTTTTTGCTAAAATTAATTTCTTTTTGATTTAACATGCTTTCTGTCTGATTCTATATCCACTCACTTCACCTCTTTGACACTTATCACCTTCTTTCACTTTTTTGAAATCAAAACCCCCGGTTTCGCTTCTCCAGTGTGATGTGTGTGATGTCATCAAGTGTGTGTCTGCATGTGTGGATGTGGAATGTTCTTTCGTGTGATTTGTACTGATATGGTACAAATGTGTGGGCTATGTTGGTATGGTGTATTGAAGAGTAACAGTGTTGTGACTTCGCGTACGGCTGCACAGAAGTAGTGGTGACTTTTTAGGGGGAGACTTATCTCACTTAGCCACTTCGCATCAAGGGTAATACGCAGATAATAGTGACCCTCTAACTTTGCAATAGTATTTTTGTAGTATGATTTGCCTTTTGCTTGAAAATAGGACTTCATGTCGGTATTCACCTCTTCATTTGATGAAAATTTCATCCCAGTTAGCGCTTTTTTGAGATCTAAGAACAGAAAATAGTCATGGGGGGCCTAGAGAATTTGGCGAATAAAAAAGCGACTCAAAGCACAGTTCATGGAATGTTGTCTTGCTTTGGTGAAACAGCACTTTCTTGTGCTTGTTTTTCGGCGATTTTGTTCTTTAAACGATCTTATAATGCCACGTAATAAATGCTATTGAATTAGTTTGTCAGCTACAGTCGACTCGGATGACTGTCGATTGGACTACGGAGTGAAATGATGGAGTCACTCAAAGACTTGGGCTCCTTACGCTTGAAACTTTCCAAATACTGCTCCGAATCAGCGCCATCTATATCTCAGGACTCGTTAACTGGCCGTAAAGATAAAAGTAGACTAATATAGAAACGGGGTTGAATTCCAGAAATCATTTTAAAACAGAAAAATTTATTTGAAATTCTTATGCAGCAATGGCTCTCATTTCAAATCTTTGTGTTTGTAGCAATCCATTCTGTCCATTAAAATCTATTTATATATACAATTACAGGTTGAGGGCACCTTGTCCGTGCAGCCACAAGCGAATCCTGTAAAAGGTTTCGAAGAATACTTTCTAAACTTAACGGTGGAAAACAATCAACGAAATCCATGGTTTGTAGGTAAGTGATTCGAGCATATTTTGTTTTCTTTCTTTTCCCATATAGAGTTAATTCTTCAACGTRATTTCAATAACGCAAAATTTTTGAAAATTATTTCACTACAATGGTCTACATAGAATTCTGGGAGGATCACTTCCAATGCCGCTATCCCGGCAGTCTGAGTACACCATACAACAATTACAACAGCACGTGCACTACCCACGAGCGTCTCTCCAAGGACACAGACTTCGAGGATCAGCTGCAGTTCGTGAGCGATGCGGTGATGGCATTTGCATACGCGTTACGGTGAGTTGACCTCAAGCAAATAGGAGAGTGTTATATGTAATAGAGTACTAAATTATTTATATAGCTAACAAAATAGTTTAACTGTTAAAATAACTATTTACCACGAGTTTCTGCACGCTCTAATTTAATTTTAAATTTTTCCTTTATTTTTTATTTTGAATATTGACAGCGACATGCATCGCGACCTCTGCGGCGGCCGACCCTCGCTTTGCGATGCCATGAGACCCACCAAAGGCGCCGACTTACTCAAATACTTGCGGAAAGTGCAGTTTCAGGGTAAGTAGCATGTGAGGGAGGGGCTAATTTAATAATCTGGCAATCAAGTAGAATAGTTGAGTTATGATTAGAAAGGATATGGAAGTGTGCACTTGCGTTTTTTCAGTCACTTAAGTAACAACTTTCTAGCGTACATCTGGCTATATGTATGAGTCGTATATATGCCACCAGTGCAACGAAACCAGCTGTCACACACACATACACACAAAATATGCTCCGCATAAGCATAGCATACATGGAAATTGGCATGTGTACTTAGATCACGTACCCTAATGACACTTTGTAATATTTCGCTGTGAGAGCAACGTGCTGGTGTGCGGCAGGCTGCGAGGACGCGTTTCGCTGACACCCTGGCTGTTGCTGCAACTAATGCGGCTGCTGATGTGCTCCCATTGTCATTGTCACAACGAGGCATCCAAGTGGAAAATTGGCTTTGTTGCTCCGTGCCCGCTCGATCCCGCTCTCCGCGCGCGCAGGCAGCCGCACAACTTCCGGTGCCACCAGTCCAGTGGCCGCGTTGCTCATCATTGAATTGAAAATGAAACTCAATAAATTATTTTATAATCATAAGAGCGCAAAAAAAGAAAGAGAAAATGTAACAGTAAAAGGAAAAATTGCTCGTCCGCTTGGAAAGGGTCGAAATATGCGTGATTGCGCTGTGTGCGGCGCTGAGATAAAATGGATGGCGTTGCCGCTAAAAAGTTACAAAAGCAACAAATAAACAAATGAAAAATGAGCGTCGCACAAAGAACAACAACACACAAATTGCTCTCGGTATGTGTGTGTGTGCGTGAGTTTATATGCCGTTATGTGCGTCGTGATTAGATTTGCGTTGCCTTAACATTTCGCCTGGCGCTCTTCAGTGGCTGGCTTGTTGCTTGCGCCTGATGGCTTCAGCTGATCGGCGGTTGCGCATGGCACTATTGCAGATAAGCGAAATTGGCAGCGCTGAAAATAAATAGGCGCGTTCGAATTTATAATGCGCGCGTGAAAGGGCGTAATAATGAGCAGCGTTGAATGAAAAATTGTCATCAAAACTTTTGACAGCTTAACAAGCAGCAACAACAATGTATTGCTTAACCCATTTTAGTGCGGCCAACAGCTGGCAAATAACACACAGGCGCATGCACTGTTTATGTATGTTGTATATATGATAGAGATACAATTGGGTTTTTGTCCAGCTTGATTTCATATACTTATAAGTTCATTTTTGTTTTAAGTTATTTGTTTTGAATTAATTTAAAAGTGTAATCCTTTTTAACGCTTTCCAGGCCTCAGCGGTGATCATTTTCGCTTCGATGCCAATGGCGATGGTCCAGCGCGTTACAACATCATCCATTTCAAGCAGTCAGCGGAGGGCCTCTACCACTGGGTCAAAGTGGGTGAATACTACGAGGGTGAGCTGCGCTTGAACATGACAGGTATGAATAATATATCAAATAAACGCTACTGATATGGACTAGCAAATGCTATTTTGTTGGAAAATGCTTTCCAAACACTTTAAAAAAAGAGTTTTTAAATTTTTTGCAGCTTTTAGGCGCACAAACAGAATTTTTCCTTTCATGTTAACAAATTTAAAATTAATGAATCTGTTTATTGAAATGTAAAAAACAGTTATAATCATAAAGTAAAACAGGAGAAAGCGTTCACTTCGATTGCACCAAAGGTGTAATATCCTTCAGAAATACAAAATATTCCTTCCTTAAGTTTGCATGGCAGTTCAGTGATATAGTTCTTCGATTTCAATAATTTCTTCAGAGATTCCACTATTGCCTCAGATAATAACTCGCATCAAATTAAAAATTTTTCAATACAATTATTTAATTCCGATAATTCAGATTGTATGGCAGCTATATGCTATAGTAATCGGGCAAGGGAAATTTCTTCACATATTGCAGCACTGCTTTAGAAAATAATCTATACTAATTTTCGTAAAAATATCTCATCAAATATATAAGATTTTCATACAAGGATTTGACTCCGATAATGCAGTTGGTATGGCGACTATGTGCAAAAGAAACCCGAATTGCAAAATTTTTGTTGGAGACAATGTCATTTCTACTGAGAATTATCTATGCATAAATTTGTAAAGTTATATTTTCAAATAAAAAAGTTTCTCATACAAGTATTTGATTCTGAGTGATCAGTTTGTATGGCAGCTATATGTTACAATTTCCGTTATTAGCGATTCCGACAAATGAGCAGCTTCTTGAAGAAAAAAGGGGCAAAATTTCAAATCGATATCTCATAAACTAAGGAACTAATTCGCATTATATTGTCTCCGACGCTTTCTACTGTGTGTTGTCAAACTTCATGCAAACTTAATATATGCTAATCAGAGTATTGAATAGAGGGCTTACTCTTAAATATTGCTGAGATAATTTTCAGCACTTTTACGAGCAAGCAAACAGTTATTCAATATTATTTATCAATCAACCGAACAATCTTCTGCGAGTGTAGCAACTTGCGGCTTTAAGCGCCTATTTGTCAACCTCCATGCTCGCTTGTTTAGCCTTCAACAACTAGCAATTTGTTGCAAATGGCAAATCCATTTCAGCATCACAAGAGCATTTAGGCGCACTTGCTGTAAATTTGCTCGTACTTATTGCAGCCGCATTTGTAAACTTATCTGATACACATGTACGCCTCGCTTCCTTGCACATTTTTCTGCCAGCACGCGCACACACACACTCCTCTACACTTTATTATACGATCTCATTATATTCTATTCTATTTACTCGAGTTCATTTGCTTTGTTTCTGTCGCACATTTTCATTCTTTTCTCATTGTTGTTCTCTTCCATTGCAGAAGTCCAATTTAAGCTGTTGCATCCGAAGCCACCTGAGTCCGTCTGCAGCTTGCCCTGCGAACGCGGACAGGCCAAGAAGTATGTGGAGGGCGAAAGCTGCTGCTGGCATTGCTTCAATTGTTCAACCTATCAAGTAAGTTCAAGCAAATTTACAGTTGTCACTTAGTACGGCAATGCTTGCCAGCGCCAGCGCAGTATTGGCACACAAACAAAGTCGACACACACACACACGCATTCGCATGCATGCCCCTGAAAGGGTGACAGCTGGATCAGCCGCAAACCATATTGAGCGGCCGTGGCGCGGAGAGGGCCATCAACTGCCGCTGAGTTGTGCAGATAAATTGAAGAGCTTTGTAGAGTAATTGATTTGCTTGTTTTATATTGGTAAGGCTTTTACTGCAGCACATTTGTATACCGCTGTACAAATACATTTGCGTGCTTGTGTGTGTGTGTGCTTATTTCAGCCAACTGCAGCTGGGAAATTGGATTTTGATTTAGAAATTATGCTGTAGCAAATTGAATTCAATTCACTCATTGAACCCAGTTGAGCAAAGCATGAATATCGCTCAGCTGCTTGTAAAGCGAAGGTCGCCTCGCCTTCAAAGCGCGATGCTTTTCTGAGTCAACCTCTTTTAAAAGGGTAAAAGAAGCGAAGAAGTGGAATTTTGCAATATTCTGCATAAATAGTTGCTCGCAGTTTTTTGGCTAAAATATTGAAATAAAACTCTGGAAGTAGGTAACACGCGTTGCTAGGAGCTGAGCTGAGTTGAGTGCTTGGACGCGCATCAATATTTAATTTAGTTACGGTATTGCGATGGAAATTTGTCCGTGGAGTTCCCAACCGAAAAATCCTTCTCTTTATAAAAGTTTATTTAAGTTTTACAGTCCAATAGCAGCCAAACTTTTTATATCTTATTTTACTTATAACTAGTTTTACAAGTTTTAGTCACAAAAATGAAAATACTGTGTAGTCGACAAAGTCTTTCAATTCTGGCCTTGCGACCACGCTTGGACCACGATCTTTCTCGCACATTTTTGTCGTATTTGATGCATTCTTCGTCTGCTGTTACCATTCGCTTCAGAAATGGTTCGATTTCATTTCGCTTTAGTAAAGAATCGCAGATGTTCATTAGATCCATTAAATTTTCACAGGCAATTCATGTGATACCCAAACATCGAGTTTTTTTTTTTTTTTTGTAGCCAGCCTTTTTTAAGTGATTCAACACCGTTTGATGATGAATGCTAAGTTTCTTAGAGAAGTGATGGCTTTTATGTGCCGACCCTGGTCAATTTTTTCCATAATTTCATCGACTTTTTCAACGATAGATCGAGAAAGCAAGGTGCATCTTTCACATCGAAATTTCCAGAATGAAAGCTAGCGAATGCTTGTTGTGCTACACGAACTGATACAGCATCGTTTTCGTAAACTTCACCAAATTCATTGTTGGCTTGCGTGACATTCTTCCCTTTTTTAAACAAAAATTTCAAAATATAACGATTTTTTTCATTATTTTGACTCATTTTTGATCAGCTTTTTCAACTTCCGCGGATTAAATTTTTTTTTGTGAAATGAAGCTTAATATCTCACCTTTCCAACACTGTATGATATAACACAGCGTGAATTGTAGCTCCGGACAAATACGACAGCTATTGACAAAAAACGAAAAGACTTTTTCGACTACCCAATATTTAAAACAAATTTTTTTTGCACTGTTTTTGAAGTAACTCTTTTGGAAAAGCAACATAATTTTTTTTTTTTTTCCGAAAACTAAACACGAAAATTTATTGAGCGCAGGGCAATATAAAAATTTGCAAAACTATTAATAACTCGCATCCGATTGCCAAGTATTGCAGCCTCACTTGTTACATTCCAAATAGTAGCAACGTTTATTTGACAGCTTCCTTCTCGTTGTCTTTCAATTACATATTTACAACACTTCGTCTAGATACGCCATCCCATCGATGAGACACAGTGCCTAACTTGCCAATTGGGCACTTTGCCCGATGCCAGCAAGCAGCTCTGCCAGACAATACCGGAAGTATACTTGCGACCCGAATCAGCTTGGGCGATTGGCGCGATGGCCTTCAGTGCCACCGGCATTTTGGTCACGCTCTTTGTTGTTGGCGTGTTTGTGCGGTAAGTGTGCAACAAGCACTAATACATATACATATAAACATATACTCACTCTCTGCATCCTTTTATTTACGGTGTCAATTGCCAACTGTCGAATGTCAACAATTGATTGCTCTTTGTCGTTTTCTCGCCTCTGTTTATTTCCACCTCCTGTTTTTGCTTTATTTGTTTTTTTTTTCGTTTGCTGCCAAGCCAACATGCTACTTAAGTTGTTTTTTTTTTTTTTTTTGTTTTTTTTTTCGTTTGCTGCCAAGCCAACATGCTACTTAAGTTGTTTTTTTTATTTGTCGATTTGTAGAGCGGGCAACTCAAGCTTTTCATCAGCGCCGGAATTTTTTGTGTTTCATTTTCTTTGTTTATTTATTTATTTTTGCAATTTTGGTATTTTTCGAAATTTTTCTCCTTGTCTTGGCTTGATTTTCGCTGTTTGCTTTTAAATTAAAAGGACGATATGCTTTGCCGAGTTGCTTTAAATATGACAATTTACGTTATGTTTATTTTTATCGGCCATTTCTACAATTTTGCAAGAAATACTTAATCGCTTGCTAAAGAGATAGAGCGATTTGTGAATTATTACTTCAAAAATATATAACTGAAATTTTGTTTCCTTTAATAAACATTTTCTCTGTCCACTCCTCAATTTTTCTCGTCCCTTTAATTCCCTTAGCCACAACGACACGCCCATTGTGCGCGCCTCTGGCCGCGAGCTCAGCTATATACTACTCGCTGGCATATTAATGTGTTATGCCGTTACATTTGCTTTGGTGTTGAAGCCCACGAACATAGTGTGCGCCATACAACGGTAAGTTGCCAAAGAGCTTTGCGCTAAATGATACCGAAATCTTTTACTAGTAAAAAAAAAATTAAAGTAAAAAAAATAAAAAATTAAAAAAAAATACTAAAAAAATAAAAAAATTAAAATAAAAAAAAAATGCAAAAACTATAAACATAAAATATTTCAATGCATTATATAAAACTGTTAATTGCATTTCTGCGTTTTGTATCTCCGCCAGCTTCAGCGTCGGCTTCTGCTTCACCGTTGTCTACGCCGCGCTGCTCACGAAAACCAACCGCATAGCGCGCATCTTCAAAGCGGGCAAACAATCAGCGAAACGACCATCGTTCATAAGTCCCAAGTCACAATTAGTTATCTGCTCGTTCCTAATTTTCATACAAGTAAGTGCGAAATCGATGACAATGGCAGCAAGAGCGCACAAAATAAATGCGCCAAAGCATTCCGCGACGCAGCAGCTGCTTCGCCACATTCCGGCTTACTACAGCTGGCATGTTGCATGCAACCAACACGCTGCCACATCGCATATTTGCTCACACACACACTCGCACTGCTTTCTCACACATATTTGCTTATGTCGCGAACAAAAGCACTTAGTAGCATCCATTACCTCTTTTCTCTAGCGCTGCTTTTGCTCCGCCGCGCCATTCATCAACACAATAGCGCTTTACTTTGCCATTAAAATAATGTTTACATATTTACACACACACACACACATACAACTAGAACTGCATTCGGTTTTCCTTTTACTAATGACCGTTCTTTATGTGATTTTCTCCCCGTCCTTCGTGTTTGCTGCCATTGCAGATTCTCATTAATGGCGTTTGGATGGTGATTGCACCGTCGCACGCCATGTACCATCATCCGACACGCGAGGATAACCTGCTCGTCTGCGATTCGTACATCGACGCTTCCTACATGATCGCATTCTTCTATCCCATCGTTCTGATTGTAGTCTGCACGGTGTACGCGGTGCTAACGCGCAAAATACCAGAGGCATTTAACGAGTCCAAACATATCGGTAAGTAGTTGGCGCGAGTTTGACGAGCGTCTGGCGAGCTTCAGAGCTTCAACTTTAGCGCGCTTTCAACTTCAAACCGCAGCTATTTACCAAATCAATTAAACGGTTGTAATTGGTAGACAATGCGTGATTTGATTTGCCGGTTGTAAAGCGTGGCAGAAGTTTGCCATTTCATATCGGTATATTAACCTCCACTAGAGCGGGTCGATTTTTTTTCCTGTAAATGCGATTTTTCCTTTGATATGTTCTATGAATCATTCAGAAAAACTTTGCAGAAGAGACTGTGGATGTAAAGCCGATTTCGAGCCAGAGACTTTTAAGACTAAGTTTGGAAAATCTGAGCAATCGATTTTATGGAAGATATAGTTCTCCGATCTCCCCGATTCCGACAAATAAATTGGCAGTAGAATATCAAAATGCACCTAAAAATTCATTCGAATATCTCAAAAGCTGACGAATAAATTTTTGAAACCCTTAAGCAACCTGCGTCTTAAAAATCTGTGGCTCAAAATCGGTTTTCAACACAGTTGTTGCATAGAACATTTCTCATCTACGTTTTTTTTTTATTTTTTGTTTTTTTGGTTCCCTATAAATCGGCCCGCTGCAACCGCCACACCGCGATATCACCAATATTTGACTACTTGTCTCTTAAAAAATTGTCTAATTAATATAATTCTATTTGGTCATATTCCCTTTCGCAATCGCTGCACTGGACGCTGCCACTTGTGGACAAACGACTTCAACTGCACAAAACAATAATTGTCCAACACCTGTGGCGATTTCGCATGCCCATACATCTCGCCTACGTTACGATCACTTGCGATCATCGCCTCCTGTACATTTTCTGTTTTTTTTCAACCAATGCGCTCTCTTCCGATTCCATCATCTCTATCATCAACGCAGGATTCACCATGTACACCACTTGCGTCATCTGGCTGGCTTTTGTGCCGCTTTACTTCGGCACCGCCAATCATGTGCCGCTGAGGATAACGTCGATGTCGGTGACGATAAGCTTGTCGGCGAGCGTTACGGTGGCGTGTTTATTCTCGCCAAAGGTGAGTGAGAAACAACTTAATATTGTGATCGATATGACATTAGCGGAAAATGCATGTGTGTTTAAGTATATAGCGTCTACCAATAGGGATGAGGTGATTTTAACAGCTCGTGACAGCCACTTTTGTTTTTGGGGTTATAGTAAACTTTGTTTGCCATTTCATCTTGTTATGTTATTCACTTTGATACAACGCTTGGAACTTGTCCAAGATTATTACGCAAATTGACGTTTTTCAAAATATTCACTAATTTACGTTTTCAACGGGCCTTCATTCTTTCGAAATTAGGCTGAAAATGCCGTTACCATCAATAGCGAGCGTGATGACACGATTTTTACCGACATTTTGCCCAGAATTTGATGCAAACGACGCGAACGACCTCTAGCAAAACCTGTTTTACAACTTTTACAACTAAATACGAAGACTTTGGATGCAAAGATTGGCGACGCGTAAATGTCGTAAAATTATCAACACAACCACAAAAAAAAAAAACCAACTCCATTTTGAACAATTTTGAGCGTTTTACTGCATTTTAACATCACACCGTTCTTGTTGGTAGCCTCTGTGTTTATAAATATATTGGGCAGACGGAAAACTTTTTCGTATGTTTAATCAAATTTTAAACTTTTTTTTTATATTTTTTGGTAGCACTGGAGAAAAGACTTTTTCGACTATCCAATATTATCTCTGAGTACCTATATTATATGCATATAAAACGCTAATAAGTTTTAATTTTACAAATTTTCAAGCGACTTGCGCCTTTTTTCATTTGACAGCTCAAATTTATTTATTAATTTTCTGTTGCTTGGAAACTTTTCCCAATTTTTTCACTCACTCTTTTTCGTTGTTCACTAAAAAAAATTATGATCGAATTTAATTCTAATTTAAATATATGTAAATGCATGAAACAAGCACCTCATATTTGTAAATATTTATTTTGCGCAAACTTATTTTTTTTTTATATCAACAAAGCAATTCTCTTACACAAATACCAGCTTTAAAATAAACGAAATGAAATAATTACAATTTAATTTATGCAAATTAAATTCATATTTTTGTTGTAAATACTGCAAAGTTGTTTTATTAAAATTGCCAGCATATGTTATATATGTTGCATATATTCCACTGATTCATATAGGTAAATATATATTTGCTATTACCTTGACTTCAGCTGCTCGCATGACACACCATTAGCTATGATTTAATTAGAGAATTAAAGGCAAACCTTTGTTGCAACATCTACGAGCGCACAAAAAGTTTGTATAATTTCGTGGAAATTAGTTTATGCAGTTTAATTCAACCTTAAACTGCCTTCAAGTGATATTATATTATATGTGGCCCTCAGCACTTGCCCTGACACATATGAGTATATTGTATTTATTTTCCTCAAAACTTGCCATCTACCCTGACCCTGATGTCCTGTTCAGTTTAAAGAAGACATATACCACAATCAAATATTGACCAAACCACAACTGGCCAAATTGACAAAGATCTTCAATATATAGAGAAGATATGGTGAAGAAAGCCGGAGACACTATTCCATCAGTGTAAAACTTTTCCGGTTTTCGGCGAAAAACTGCGACAAGTAATTTTCAAAGGAAGCCAACTGTCCCACATTAAGGGAGTTCTGCATTGACCGAAACAAATGGAAGTCCGATGGTGCAAGGTCATGCATCAAAACTTCAAAGCGAGACTCTCACAGTTTTTGCCATGTCATCAAAAATGTTTGTGGTCTAGCGTTGCCCTGATGGAAGACGAAATCCTTTCTGTTGATCAGTTCTGGCCATAGAATCAATCGTTCTACCAGGCTGGAGCAGCTCGTAGTGGATGACTCCTTTCCAATTCCACCAAACACTCAGCATAACTGTTCGAGGCGTCGATCCTGGCTTTGCGACCATTTGTTGAGCTCCACTACCCTTGGGCCATGATATTAGTTTGTCAAAAAAGTCGTGCGGTATTTTTGCGACTCATGCCCAGCTCTTGACCGATACTACGGCTGCTACTTGCGGGTCTCTTTCGACCAATTCAGCGATTGTATCGCAATTTTCGACGACAGGCCTTCCGGAGCGTGGYGCATCTTCGACCACCTCTACACGAGAACGAAAACGTTGAAAGCATTGTTGTGCGGTGGAAATGGAAACTGTATCGGGTCCATAAACTGCACATTTTATTGGCGGCTTGAGATGCATTTTTGCCTTTATCGTAGTAGTACTGTAAAATATGCCGTATTTTCTCTTTATTTTGCTCCATGTTTGCGACGCTATAACGCACGAACGACTTAAAAGAAACGGCAATCAATCAAACACGTGTTAGCGCGTGAATTGAGCTTTCCAAAAAGGTATCGCGTGACCCGATGCGACGAATAAAACCAGAACTACGCGCTCTCAGCGCCAACTTGCGAAAATACCGCAAGACTTTGTTGACAAGCTAACATTTTTCTCACATTACTGTGCATTCTTCCCTTTTTTATACAAAAATTTCAAAATATAGAGGTGTTTTCATTATTTTCACTCATTTTTGATCAACTGTAATTTTGTTTCTAACTTCGTCGAACTAATTAAATTTTTTGTTAACTGAAGTGTCACCACTTTCCACTATATGTTTTGGCAAACTGTGATGGGTAGCACTGGAGATATAATATATGTACCTGTACGACCGCAACGACATCCGTTGACAAAATGCGAAAAGACTTTTTCGACTACAGAATATATGGAAGAAATGTAAATTTAGTCTACATTTGCTGCCCTGCCGCAATAAATATTTTCAAGTTACTATGTTTTCTGCTTTTCCGAATCATACCAGCATATAAATTCGTTTACCTTCACAAAGAAATAGAAAGGAAGCCTTGAATATTTATCTGACTTTCAACTACAAAGCAGTTAAAACAACTGTCATTTTAGCTTAGAAAAAAAAATAAACTTATAAGGATAGGCATTTTCCAAAACTTGTATGGATTTGTTGATATTTCTCACCGAAATGTGAATATTCTGAAAGCGAATTTGTTTCACACCAGCAAAAGTGCTCATTCGTTTATCAACATTTCAACTAAATTTGCTGACACGCTATCAACTGTCAGCCATCATATAAATATTTGAGTTAGCAACTGAAAAAAAGAAGAAAAAAAAACACAAAAATAACAATAATAATAGCAAATTTGATTTACATGCAAAGCAGACACTCTCTGCGCCTGTATGGGTAAATATGACTTTCTGTGCATGTGCACGTATGCAAAGTTCGGTTGTGAAATTCAATTCAAACACACACAAAAACCGCCCGCATAATAGTTTCTGTGGCACGTGTCAGCTAACTGTTGATAAACGACCACAAGCAAAAACATAATATGACATAAAGCGCAAATCCTTGTGAAATCTACAATAAATATTGTGTGGCCAAAGGCAAATATGGCAAGTGTCAGTGCAAGTCAACTGCCAGATTTGACATCAATTAAACATGAATATGCCATGTTGATGCGCACGACGGCACACAAAGCCTTTCATATGAACTGAGCACCAGTTAAAGCCCAAAAAAATACTTACTTTTGCGTTTTTTTTATTGTTTATGAAATTAATATTGGCATTTACATAAACTGCACTGCTTTTTTTCAGCTGTACATAATACTTATAAGGCCCGAACGCAATGTGCGGCAGAGCATGATGCCGCCGCGCTATGGAAACATGCACCGCGCGGGCACCGGACCGTCGTCCATGATGGCGGCCGCCGTGGTGACAGCCGCTACCTGTGCGCAAGAGGAGAAAATACAAAAGCATATCACACCAACAAATACAGGTGAATATAGCAACAAAGCTAATAACATATATGCAAATCCGAAAGGAGTTTATTTGTCTTTAAGAAGAAGCATATCATAACTCGCTTTGAAAGTATGCACATAACCTACATATTATTTTCTTTTTCCACTCCTTCTCGCTTCAACAGAGCACAGCACCAAGGCGAAGAAGCTCTGTGAGATGGCAACACAGACCATCACAATAACGAATATCTTCACCAATTTGGACAGCATCGCCTACAGTCAGATTCCCTATGCGGATCAGTATGTGCCAAACAACAATCATCAGCAACAGCATGAGCAACAAAGCCAGCAATCATTACACCACCACCCACTAACCGCCAACAGCGAAGCTGAAGTAGTGGCGAATAATAATAAAATCAATCAATTGCAGCATGGCAACCCCAACGCGCTGGCGCACGCCACAAACACCGCCACTGCTGCTGCAACTACAGCCAGCACAGCGGCCAGCTCGACCACAGCAGGTGCGGCAACTAGTACAGCCGTATCGCCACCAACTTTGCATGCGCTAAGCAACCATGTAATGTTGCAGCAACATGTTGCGCTGCACAACTGCAGCGATAGCGCGACTATGTGCAGTGATGGCGGTCGACCACAACTGGAGACCACGAATTTATAGCCCAAAGCGCCGCTAACCAATGCTGTCAGCGCTGGCGCTGCATTAGCAACCGCACAAGCCATCGAACAGTGTGATGTCGCGGACACATTGAAAGCACATGGCATGAATTATGTGCTGCGACAAGAAAGCGGCTGTGAAAGCTGTGACGCACAGCCAGCACAAGCCAAGGTGGGTGAGTGTAATAAGCACAACAACAACAATGCCGGTAATCAGGCTGTCACACAACACACGCTCACCAATAACAATGGCAGCGGCAACGGAGAGGGTGCTACAGAACGCACGACTGCCACCAGCAACAACACCGGCAGCAATTGGACCAGCAGCAGCAGCAGCAGCAACAGCAGCAGCAATGGCGGCAACGGCAGCACGCAGACCGGCAGCAAAAAGCGCTGCGCCATACCGGTGTGAGAGTGCGCGCACTGGCCCTAGGCGTGCAATACAGGCAGCGCAATAAATTGCTGAATTGCTGCCATTAGAGTTTTGCTAAATCTATTTGTAACTGTAAGTAAGTACCAAAAAATAGTTTAAGTCCAATTTATTTCCTTTCAAAGAGTTCATAACCGACTGCTTATGATTTAAGTTTAAGGGTTTATGTGGGTAGCGGCGGTTATGCCTTTGCAAGTCAGGCACAGAGGGTTTATACTTTAGCAGTTCCAATGAAATTACAATGAATTTAGCTAGATAAGTTGTGCTCTTAGTATATTAAGTTAGTTAAAATTGTAAATAAGCAAGTTAGTATACTACTATAGAGTAATTATAAGAGTATGGCAGTGTTTTATATTTGCAGTTTTGGTACAAAACTATTTGGTTACAGAGTTATAAGAAATAATTAGACTGAGTTCCAGTTTATAAGAAATAAAATCGGTATTTATTATTAAACTTCCAAAATTAAAATAACAAATAATTTATTTATTTTTTTAATTAAGCTGTTGAGAATTGATTCAACTAACAGCTGTTCGTACGAAATGTGCGCAACAAGCGAGGCGCCTAAAACTATGCTTGTTGGCGTGTCGCTGTGGCCTCAGCAGCTTATTTTGACTTACTCTACTACTATCTACTGCTCATCAATAATCAAACTCTTTTGCGTTTATTAGATTTTTTCTTAACGATTTCCCAACTCAACTCTGAGCTTTTCTGCTGTTCTCAATATTTTTTCTTTTTCTTTTTTAGAAAATTTAGTAAGCATACTAATCATAGTTAAGATGACGCTAACATGTGATATTATTTAGAACCAAATATTAAGTATTGAGGCCAAATGTAACAATGTATGTATATATGTTATGAGACATAGTTTAAGCTTTTATTATTAAGTTAGTTAAGTCTATGGCGCAAACCAAATGTCTAGTTAATGTTATTTTTAAAATGAAAAAACTCGATTTTGTTACAAAAGGGATAGCAACTAGCATAAGTCCACAAAAGATAATAGATTTCATAAATCGTGTACACTACAATAACAATACTATCCCTTCTGCAACCTAATCAAACGCTCTATTGCTTGGCCAAGTGCTTATGTGACACCTGTACGCAGTAGAGGCAACTAAATTTATTACGTTGTTTGAGCCCAGCAACATAATGAATTTATTTGCAAATAAACTTAACGTTAATGGAAGACAATATATTTTAGTTTTTCTCAGCCGCAAAGCAGAGCTTTCACCGGCGAAAGCTCGTTGTAACGCCGAGAGCTAAAGCATGCTTACATTCGTTATAGAAAAGTTTAGTATTTCTCAGTTGCATAGCAGCGCCCATGTATAACAGCAGAGCTTTCACATATGAAAGCCCGTTGTAACGCATGTAGCTGAAGCAGGCTTTCATTTGTTATAACTTTTTGAGCTTTTCACCTTATCTCAAGGTTAAAAACCCTTAACTTTTTTTATTTTTTAACTTCCTTGTATATTTGCAACTAAAATATGCCTTTCGAGTGAAGAAACTATATAATATTGTACATTGTAATACCTTAAAATAAAGCACACTAGAAATTTATAACCGTAAATATTAAAGCATAAAAGCTATACCATATTTTTCCTAGAGGGTCAGGTTAATTAATTAATTTTAGTATAACTAATTACCCATAGAGATGTAAGATAAGGCAAAAACAAGCATTGTAGTTAACCGTAGTTCTAATAGCTATTATAAATTAATAATGAAATGATTTATGGCAGACAAACCCATGGCCAAAAATAATCAATTATGCAAATTGATTACAGCAAAGGAAATATTGAAAATTCTAATGAATTTCGAAAGAAAAAAAATCGTTACACACAGTTGAATGTTTCTACGTAAATATGTTTAAGTCCATGTAAATAAATAATGCTTGCATATACATTGTACATATGTATAATCGTACATAACCTATTTGTATCGAAGTAAGTACCTTAAATTTATGCATTAACTATGTAAATTGTTTAAAGTTACTCAAATGAATGAGCATGCAAATAACGGTTAGCAAATAAATTTCCACACATTCTAGAAAATATGTAGCATATGAAATATTGAGAGCAAAACAAGTGAATTAATATTCTGAATAAAATAATTGAAACAACTTAACTAAATTTGGTTTCATTAGCGCGAAACTCGGCGCCGCACTTCATGCTTTTATTGAAAAAAAAAAAATGTGCTTAGCAGAGGCAAATATGAATTGAAGTTTGATTAGAAATACGAAAAGACTTTTTCGACTACCAAATATATCCTCTACAAACTCAATTAGCGGTGTCACTCAAAATCAAGGCCTCACCGGCTGCCAGCGTCAAGCTCTTGATGTCAATCTCGGAGCTGAAAACAAGTAAGGGATCGGATTTTTTACATAAATATATTTACAGCTGTGATCACGTGGGCTGTACTCACCCGCTGGCTTTAGTTGAGTCCAAGCTGCTTATCGTCAAGGTCATGGCAGCGGGTAGCAAGACATCGAAGTCCTGCTGCAGATCCACAGTGCTTGTGTCATTGCCAAAATTGGCGATGTATACGAGGGTGCTCTCACCTGTCAAGTAGCTGGCGTAAAGTAAGAAAGTATGTAGTAACCAAGTAAGTGTAGTTTAATATTCAGATGTGTACCGTTTCAAAGCGAAAAAGTTGTTTGCGAGTGCCTTATATTTGTACGAGCCCTCCTGTAGAGTTTTCGAGCTTTTTCGCAGCTCAATCAGTGACTTGTAGATCTTCAGATGTGAATTGGCGCTCGAGTTCTCCACGTCCACATTGAGGGTTTGGTAGTCCGGTGCAATGGGTAGCCAAGTCTTTGAAGCGTTGGAGAAACCTTGTTGAGGGTTGAAACTGTTTGTTAGGAGAACACAAATATAATTATACTGAGCTGCGCTTACCAGCATTAGTGCCTGCGGTCCATTGGAATGGCGTACGTGACGGATCGCGCGTAAAGTTTTCATATATATCTTTGTTTGAATTGCATGCAGCGGGGTCAACAGTATCCTCCCATGAGATCACACCATCAATCATGCCCAATTCCTCACCCTTAAATAAAATCTTATCATAATCACATGCATCGAAGCCAACAACGTCGAACTCACCTGATATGTGACACTTGCGCCGGGTAGAGTCATGACCAGCATATTCATGGCGTCCGTGCGTTGCACGCCATAGCGACTGGCCGCGCGACGTTGATCGTGATTACCAATCTGCAAGTAATGTAAAAGTATTACAACATCAGCCATAACAGACAATCCAAACTGCACGCACTTACCACCCAATTCGCTGTACGTCTCGCCGGCATGTTCTTCAGCCACTCATCGACCGCCTGTTGCACGTATGCCGCGCTCACACCCTGCTTCAGCACGGTAATCAAATTGAAGTTGAACGGCAAATGTGCGCCCTCCACTGTACGGTTGCCGTACATTTGCATAGTGTATGCGGCCGGCGCGTACGTTTCGATCAGCAGCACACGCGTGTCGCCGCCATGTATGCGCTGATAGTCATCCATCACTTGGCGCCACTGATAAACCATATCGATGGTCTCCGGACGATTTTCAATCAGATCATTTTTGAGGTAAGCGCGATCGTCCTTATCCTCGGTGTTGCCACTCACCGGCTCGTCAGGATATTGGCCATTCTCGTCGGGCTCCACCTCGAAGAGCACCGGGACTGCATCGACGCGGAAACCAGCCACGCCCTGGTCGAGCCAGTAGCGTATAATGCGTTTCATTTGTTCCACCACGGCAGGATTGCGGTAGTTGAGATCGGCCTGCTGTACAGCGAACTGATGCAGGTAGTATTGCTGGCGTTCGTCACGCCATTCCCACGCCGAACCGCGGAACGATTGCAACTGAAAGAGTTGAAAAATGCTAACAAGTGAGTACAGAGGAGAATTATTCTTAGTTGCAGCTACTACTYCACACTCACCCAGTTACTCGGCGGTATGCGTTTGCCATCCGCATCCAGCTTGCCATCGTGCCACACATAGTAGTCCTCGTAACCGCGCTCACGCCTAACTGATTTCTTGAACCACTCGCTTTCGTTACTAGAATGATTTGGCACAAAATCCAAAATTATCTTCAGACCCAAAGCATTCGCCTTCGAAATCAACTCGCGAAAATCATCCATCGTGCCGTATTCTGCCTGAATTTCGTAGAAGTCCGCAATGTCATAGCCAAAGTCAACCATCGGAGATTTGAAAATTGGCGAGAGCCACGCCGCGGTTACGCCAATATCCTTGAGGTACTGCAAACGCGACGTAATGCCCTTCAAATCACCAATACCATCGCCGTCGGAATCCTGGAAGGAGCGTGGATAAATCTGGTAGAACTGTGCCGTTTGCCACCAGTCCTTCTGCTCCGCCTGTGCGCCAGCACGGTTCGAGAGCGTGCAAGCCAGGCAACCGGAAAGCACCGAAAAAAATACAAACGCCACGAAATACAGAGAAAGTTTTGTGGATTTCATGTTTGAGTTGACATCATACTGCAGCGGTGGACATACAGGCGCCGCCTTTTATATGTTCTGTGTGTTATTTATCTAATATGTTCCGTGCTTCTTACTTGCGTTTGCCAAGTAAACACATATTGGCTTCGATAAGACTCAAGTGTGCGTTAAGTAATATTGTGACGTACGTTTACCAAGTATAGGAAATATTTTGTTGTAAAGTGGCGTTTAATGCAGTTGAGATAATTCAATGAATTACCTTGTTTAATGTTTGAAAAGCACTTGAAGGCTAAAAGGCTGGCAAAAAATTAAAAATATCATTTCGTATGAACACGGGTTTCCCACCACTGAATGTACCCAAGAGACTCCTTCTGCCTTGCAAAGCAAATTTTATAGCAAAATTATGGACGCCTGCGACCTTGAAAATCTTGAAAAAATCTAGCTTTTAACTGATTTTCCCACCGAAACTATATCTAATTTATAACGAAAACTCTCTGCATAAAGACCAAAGAATTCTCTAATTTTACAATGCTACTTTCAACTTCAATTAACTGCATTTAAATCCAAAGCGGAGCAAGTCATTTAAACACTTAAATTGAAATTTCTGCTCAACAGCTTTTTGAAAGCTTTGTATGAGTGAGAGAGTTGTGGTTATCTCTCTCACACACTCCAACATAACCGCACAAATACTCATTGGCGTTTCAGGAATTCAAAAGCGAACAAGAGAGCGAGCAAATTAAAGAGTAAGAAAGATTGAAAGAAAGCAAACATGGAATGGAAGCTCAAAGCAAATAAAAATTGAAGAATTAAATAGGAGTAGTGGAGAGACAATAGGAAAATTCAGGCGAAAAACCTACAAACGCTTTCACAATGAAATTTTGCCGAACGGTGGTTTTAAAATGCAAACAAAAAAAGGACTGGTTTATACGAATGTAGTTTGGAACAGGCTTATATTTTTTTAGCGCACAGCTTCCGTCTGTGGATGTGTCATATGTGGCGTATGGGCTGAATTCCAAATGAAAACAATGTCATAACTTCTTTTCATGACCCCCTCTACAATAGATGCGTATCAACTTCGAGGACTTCTTTTGAAAGCCAATGGCAGTCGGCTTGCTTTGTTGGCCTGCTCGGTTTTGTGCAGTGGTTGGAGTGTGTTATGCGAAGGCTCGCGGCACAGAAGCTCTATTCTGCTGCACTTCACATCTCCACTTTTAGAGTATTGTCTGGTCACAGTGGGGTCACAGGAACAACGCGTCGATTTGCTGCTGAAGGAGGAAGTATTTTTTGTAAAATTTTGTTTGAGCCTTAAGTTAGACACATTTGAATGTAGCTTTGACAAAGATTTTACATTGAAAAGACATAACTATTATTTTTTATGATTATTCCTCTAATTTGACTAAGTGCTTGATGAGGGAAACTACAAACAACTTTGTGGTTAACCTGAGTAGCTACGGTTACTATAGAGGAATTTGTATTAAATATTTGTTTCTCTTGTTATACAACCTACGTCAAATATAGACAAATAGTTTGAGCAACAACAATAAAAACAAAACCGCTCACTCACACAAACAACAAAAAAGCACTTAAATGCAATAATCATTATGATATGAGGCAAAGAGCAACCTCAGAAAGCAAATATGTTGCCAAGCGTTGACAAATAGCGTTGTTGCTCTACGCATTTTACTCACACAACAAAGCCGCGCGCTCGGTGCATGCCAGGCATACTTATTGAGTTGTCACTCAGCGGCAGCCAGCGGCCCACAGCCACCAATCTCCAACCATCAACCACCCGCCGCCCGCCGCCAGCCGCCAGTCACTAATCGCACACTAAAGACTAAACCGAAGGACACACAACAACAAAACCAACAACAGTCGCATGCACACGATCGCACATGTGTTCGCTGCTCGCAAACCATTTTGGTTGCCACTTGGTTAGC